CGAAGAGAATGAAGCGAAGGATGGGATGAATGATTACTTAAAGGAGCATGGTGCTTATTATCCTCCTGCGAAGGGGCATTTGTCACAGCCTGTTGCGGGTGGTGCCACACCCTCTTCAGAATCCCAGCCAGTTGTTGACAATGGAAAAATGCAAACATCTTCAGCACAAGATATTGCCCAAACTTCACTTTCATCATTGGTGACTGCGAGTTACGTAACATCAGGGTCAGCGGTCACGACTTCTGCTCCAAATGTAGGAAGAGTAGCAATTCACAAGACGAGTTCTAGTAGTTTAACTACCCTGGCTCCAAGCATCTGTACTAAGTCCAGCACGCCTATCAGTTATGCACCTCGCTTTAATTTGCCAAGGGCAACATCCACAGCTGTTGCGGCATCACCAATGTCGATGCATCAATCACCAGGAATGCCTACATGGTCTTGTAGTCCACGAACTGTAGGTTTAGATGCATCAGCAACCGAGTTCTATCCTGCCAACACTCCTCAGCAATCCGCATCAACGTACATTTATTCAGCCCCTCCTTTTGAGCAGCAAGCTAGTCCGCAGTCACGCATGCAGCCTGATCCTTGGGTGGCAGTTGCCGAAGCAATCAAGCAAGGGCCATCCTTACCGAAAGTAGAGTTGATGAAATTCAGTGGAGACCCTTTGGAGTATGTGGAGTTCGTTACGAACTTTAGAGACAATATTGAGAACCAGGTGTCTGATGAGTCTCAAAGACTGACACGCCTTTTAGCTCAGTGCTCAGGCAAAGCTAAAGAAGCAATTAGGAGTTGTGTTAATTTGACAGTGGGTGAAAGGTACACAGAAGCCTGGAGAACTCTTAGCGAGAACTTTGGCCAGCCTCACATGATAGTAGAAGCCCACATGAAGAAACTGAGAGAAATTCAAGTGCGGAAAGCAGATGCGACGACTCTCATGGAGTTTGTGAGGCGACTGGAAGATGCTAGGAGGGTCCTGACCAGTGCGGGTCACAACTACGTGAGTCGGTTAGACAACGAAGATGTCATAATCTCGTTGATGCGAAATCTCCATGATGAGGGCCTGAAAAGGAAGTGGGTGGATAAAGCAGGAGATCTCATCAAGCGAAAAGGTCGAGCAGACTTTGCGGACTTTGTTGAATTTGTTCGAAGAGTTGCAGATCGTATAAACAATAGATACGGGCAAGAATTAGGGTCCTCTTCTCATACTAACCGAAAAAAAAAGGAACCAAACAAGACAAAGGATCCGCCTCCCAAGTTTACTACCCTTGCGACTCAAACTGACCAGAATTGCCTAAGCCAGAAAACATCACCAAGGCCCCCTTGGAAGTGTGCACAGTGTTCCAGACCTCACAATGTTTGGAGGTGCCGAAAGTTTAGAAGTGCCTCATTGAATGACCGTCTAAAGACTGTTCGTCAACGTGGACTTTGTAAGCTTTGTCTTGACCAAGGACATACTGCGAAACAATGTGATAGGGGATTCACCTGCCGAATATCAGGTTGCGGCAAGGATCACCACTACCTGCTACATTTCCCGTCGGAGAGCGTTGATGAAAAGAACCCTAGAAATCCCAGCAGTAATGCGGTGGAAGGTTCAGCGAACAGTAGCAATGTGCAAGCGCCCAACACGAAGGATAGCAGCCCTTCGATGGCAAGTGCAAGGGAACAGGATCTGGTGACGGTTGCTGCGCTCGAAGCGGGCAGACCCAGAGTATGCTTTAAGGTAGTTCCAGTCAAGATTAGACGTCCGGGAGGCGCCAGAGAGATCATAACGCACGCTTTCCTAGACAGCGGTCCAGACGCCTCGCTCTGTCTAGATAGTTTGGCGCGTGAAATAGGTGTAACGGATATGAAGCCAATCAGCTATACTGTGACCACCACCAACTGTGCGGACGGGGAGCTAAGACATGGTCATGAAGTCCAGTTAGAAATTGAATCGTTAGAAGGAGATGCAAAGTTCCGACTCGAAAACGTCTTGACTACAAGCAATCTTCCCGTTTCAGCACGACAAATGGCCACAAACGAGGATATTAAGCGTTGGCCTCATCTTTGTGACGTTAGCTTACCCGAAACAGGAGATAAGAAAGTGACAATTTTGATAGGAAACGATCGCCCAGACCTGATTGACAAGCAGTTAGATCGGAAAGAAGGAGATCAAGGCGAACCTGTTGCAGTGAGGACGCCCCTTGGGTGGACAGTCCACGGCCCGATTGGAGAAACTGTTAAGGACCGTGTTCACATAAACTTTACTCGCACCGGCCAAGATAGCTTAAGCGTTCAGCTAGAGCGCATGTA